CTCTCTCTCTGTGTCGTAAATGAACAGTTGATGATCACACTTTTCTGAGAATAGAATAATATAGAAGTGGAGATCGCTAAACTGCAAGCGAATCTGTTTTCAGAAAGCAAGCGCGTTTATCCACAGTGGAGAGACAGCGCGTACACATGGTTGCCAGGTTGACAAAGATAAGTAGCACACTTAGCAGATATTTCCATATTGCGCAAGTGTGAAGCTCTGTTTCGGGGATTACGTCTCTTTTATATCAGGCAACCCAGATGTGTTCCTCTGCGGCCAGATTAAACCTTGTTGTAGCCTATATATGCTCTATTCATTATTTTTTAGAAACCTCGCACTTTTCTACTCAATTTTAAACGTTGTACAATTTTAAACAAATTAAGCGCGGTCCACTGCTGCACACGTGCCACAATATCGATACAGGGCCAGCTGTATCGATACTCGTATCGTCAAATCTCTGTGACGATACATCGTCGTATCGATATTTTGAACACAGCACTAGTATTTAATCCTTCAAATATTCAATAAGTATTGTGTCCTGCATACATGGACAGAAAAATTAAGAATGTAGCTTCACTATGCAAAATTACACAAAAAAAAGTTATTAGTTAAAAAGTTGTTACAAACTTATTGACAGATAGTAACCCCAATAAACAGCAGTACTTCACATTTCTATTGACCTGTTGGACATTTTGCCTGTCTCTTATCATCTGCAGCTCGTTTTTAATTGAGAATATTGACTCTCTTCTATGCAACAACTTGCAGCGTTCAAGTAAATATTTGCCTTTGAAATCCATCTTTTTCCTCATCTTTCTGAACTTTTAAGTTCAATACATTTCACTTTTACGGGAGTGTTTTCTGCCGACATGGACTTGAAAGAGACCACAATCGTCCTTCTGTCAGTCAAGTGCCATATTGTTTCACCACCTTTGAAGTCTTGAAATGGAGCGCTGTGGAGATTTACCCAGCAAGCCTTTCAATCTTCATACTGACCCTCACTTGTAAGCGTCCTGCACTATTAACCCTATCAGAGGCTTGTTATCTGTGCATTTAAGATGAAAAATGCAGCTAATAATGGATTAGATAAGATTATCCAAGACCCGTGAATTCCTGTTGAACTGAAGCCCATCCGTAAGGCCTGAGGTGCGGCTGAACTGACCTGTGCAGCAAAACTGACTCCTTTAATTCAGTGGATATGAAACATGGGCAGCAGGAGAGGAAGTCACTCTGTCTTTGGGGCCCTTATTTTCACTGCTGAAGTACTTAGTCATTCTTGTTGCCCAAGGGCACCAGATCACCCTGAACCCCCCTCTTTAAATGCCAGATCACCCTGAACCCCCCCCCCCCCCCCCCCCCCCCCCCCCCCCCATGCTGGCCTGTGGGGATTTTGGTTTGCTTCTGGCCTTTCTTGAGGTTTGACAATGGAAGAGGGGAGGGGAGGATCTGACATCAGCAGCAGGGAGCAAAAGGTCATGAGGGAATATTTGGCAGGGCATTTTTTACTCAATGCTCATTGTCTTTCTTTCTGTTTTGCATCTTTTTCAAGCTTGTTTCCATTTCTAATGTGATGAATATTGTGTAGTCATTACTCGCTAATTTGTTTACTGTGTGCTGATGTACCTCAAATTAAATTTGATAAGTTAAAACATTTCTTAAACACGGGTAATGCATTTTTAAATCAGTTTGCGCTACATTGTTGATTTCGTAGGGATGGTTTGTGAGTCATTTACAATTTCGTAATTTCGATTTTCCCAATTTGAAAAGCTTATCTGAAAACAACTGAATAAAACCGAAACAACTGCTCTTTAAAACATGAACTGAATTATTTTGCTGATGATGGCAGGGTTGGACATGATGTATTGGTATGAGAGTTTCAGCCCCCCCACCCCCAGGTTGACCCTTATGGGACGTTTGAAGGGCTATTAACCCATTGAAGACCAGCAGTGACATTGAGAGGTCAGAGGCCAGTCTTCCTTTTAGCTTTCAGACCTTGACAACTTGGCATTAGGGGTCGGTCATCAAAGCTGAGGTTTGGGTCAGCGGTCAGTGACACCCCTGGCCTTTTAATCCTGATGCCCTTGATGAGAAGTGAAAATGGAGGCAGAGATCGACAGAGACACATCTATGAATAACAAAGATTAAACGCCAGCTCTTAATCTTTACTAATACTAATGCTTATTAAAGTTTACACACCTGAGTCTGGTTGGACAGTGTTATTGCTACCCGGACGTCCAGCCTATGTGTAAGCTTAAAGTGAGAATAACGGGGTCGATCACACGGATGTCAGATAACAAAAAATAAATACAAAATAAGGAATACACAATGCACAAACAAAACCAAGCATTTTGAGGCATTTATTTATTTATTGTGACTTAGTGCATCCAGAGTTTTAACATTTTTATGTAGTAATTAGCAATATTCTCAATGGTGATTTATTCTCACCATTCTCATAACTGCAAATAACATTATAGTAATATAGTATTTTTTTACAATCGTACTACAGTGATATATACATTTAATTAGAGATAGATGAATGTATTTGCATATTTAAAATATTGAAACAATTACATATAATTTTGCATTTTTTTATAATATACTTTTATACTATATTGAAAATTGTTTAATATAAATATATATTTTTATTTATTTATTTACATTTTAGCTTAAGTTTTAAAAGATATATAACAAAATAATGTCACAATGAAAAAAAAAATGTAATTGTACTACAATTAATGTCTTTTGATTTTGGTGTGAAATAAGACCAAAGGTTTTAAAAGATTTAAGAGTCAAATAATGTAATTTGCCAAGTAAGCAGCTTTCCACACATGGTACAGGGAAATTTCACATGAAAAATGGAACTATAAAGTCGTGGGTCATTGGCAATACCTTATGATATTCGAGCCAAACATGATGTTTCAGTCATGAAAAATTGGATTAGGAATTTGAGGTAATGTTCACTAGAGAGCAGCATGTATGGTTCAATTCAGCGATCGCCTCATGATAGACACTCTTGGCCATTTTATCCCAACCTGACTGACTGAACAAATAAACAAAGTCCCTTTGAAAGAGAAAACTAATTTTTAAGGTTCACGTATGCTGTGCCTAGAAATGAGACCAAGCATGTTATTACAGCAAATAAACAGAGAGGGAGGGGGAGAGAGTAAAGAAAGAAAATAAAGACTGTGAAAATATACAAAAGTGAGAGCCAATTGAGAAAGTATTTCCATAATAAGAACCGAACAAATAATAAATGACAGAGGCCGCCCTCAGCTGCAGGGAATCGGCAAGATGTTACCAGATGAAGAAAGAAGGCATCACTCTTTCACCCTCAACATCCTTTCACTAGGATGATGGAGCTGCCTACATACTAACACTGAGAACACCAAACAACATCATTGTAGTGCAAGGTTGCCTTCATTTTTTCATGTTTATTCTTCTGCATAGATGCGCAATATTTTTTGCTCTTTTTTTTTTTT